CTACCTCTAATTCCCAGTTTTTCTTGTGGTCGTTTATGTTGAATGTACAACTTAATGTTTTTCCTGTTTACCATTCTAGTAAAGTGGAATGCAAATTTATTTCAGACAAATGCAGGATAATATCCTCTCCCTGTAAAACTAAATGATAAAAGGTCATCTCATATTATGAAACATCTGATATCTGTAGAATGTGTTAATCACTACTGATATATGTTCACTGTATGGTGTAAAATATGAACAGAATATGAGATATAAGTCAGAGTTTAATGTACATAATATACATAGATTACAAATTACTGTATCTGACACCATAAACCAATCCATATACGAGTTATACATTTAATGAGTTCTTTCAATTTAATGCTTTGTATTTACATTTTGTAACTTCCCCTACTGATATCCTTTAAGAACATACAGAGTTAAATAGTGCAATATATATTCTAAGGTAGCGGTGCAACGGTCTTATTGGCCTTTCAGAATATAATTTATCATAGAAACGTCTATACATTTGTGAAATTTGCATAGATTTTAGAAATAGAGATACGATCTGCCATTTTACACTGTTTTGGGCTTTGAAAACCTGATGAGCCTAAGAGAAAAATGCTATTAAAAATATTAAAGAAAGCAGTCAGTTATTCTGCCTAATAACTGCTGGTCGGAGGAGACTTGCGGTTCACATTCTGCCTAAGAGCAAGTACCTCAAGGAGCCTACAATTACCATTGTTTGGTTAGAAAATGTTTTTGTGCTCCTCTCTAATACAGTAGTACCTCTGTTCACGAATGCTTCTGTTCGCGAACAATTCGGTTCACGAATACGAAGTTCGGCAAAATTTTGCTTCTGTTCGTGAACTCTGCATCGGGTGACGAACACAACTGCAACCATTTCCCCTGCTCTAACACATGGTCATGGCTTCCTCTAGTCGAGATCACGGTCTGATCACAGTTTGATTCGGTTCACGACCAAATCGGTTCGCGACCAGAATCGCAGAACGAATTAAGTTTGTGAACCGAGGTACCACTGTAGTTTGTTACTTAGTACTTGGCTTTCCCAACTTTGCCATACACACCCATGGCTTCCTCTGTCCAATGAAAATGTTTTTATTGGCCACTGAGGTTTGCTTATTGGAAAGGGTGACAGTGGATGAGTGAGGCTTAGTTCTGACTGCGTTGGGCCCCATGTCACATTTGCGACTGTGTCGCAAAAAAATTTACCATGGACAAGATTAATTCACATGGAAGAGAAATACTTAAATGCTTCCACAGTGTTACTCCCCCATTGTCCAGGTAAGTGAGCTGACGCTTTGTCGGCTGGAGAGACATTCTGCAGCGAGGAAACAACACCTTGCTCATCCGGTCAGCAAGGGAGTGACAGTGTGAAAGTAGGCATATATTGTCACTGTACTTTTTAGAGATCTTTTCTAAAAAGGACAACAGGATGACAAGTGTGACATGGCCCTCAGTAATAGAGCAAAACCAGGAATCCCTGGGCCAGAGGTGGCCCCAGAAAAAGCTTTCTGGACAACAAATGTAAGAGGAGGACCCCTAAAAAAAATAATTTTAGGATTAATATGGTTGGCAATTACCCATTAGGGTTGGCGTTTTAAAGGTTTGTATAGATAAGCATTTATAGAAAGCAACATGAATCATATGCTTAGTCAAGGTGAAGAAATATGAGTTACTTACAGTACTTTAAAAATAAATTTTAAGTTCAGAAATAGTGGTCTCTGTCTTTAGAGCA